TTTTCAGTTATTTTTTTTTCTTTTCTTTCTTTTTCTCTTTTTCACTCCAGTCGCTTTTGCTGATATTTCATATTCGTCTTCTCCGTGTTCCGATAACTTTATCTGAGACGTTATTCGTTCTATTCATCGATCAGGTGACAGGTGTCTTATTGATTTTTTTTTTTTTTTTGATTTTTTTCATAATGGCTTGTCAGCTGCTGTATTTATATTCATAGCCATTTTAGGGATTTTTTTTTTAATTTATTTATTATTTTATTTTGTAATTCTAAGAGAAAGTAATTTCTAATTACATTTGCGTTCACGTTCGTATGTATATATGTATTTGAGCAAAAGCAGTAGTCACTTTATATGAATGGTGATTTTCTAAGTGTATCTTAGACGTGGCACAAGGCCAAAAGTATAGGAGACCCAGAGAGGATCGAAATCACTACTCAGTCATAATGTGTTCTAGCGAGACGATCTTGCTAAACATTATGAGGCACCTAAGTCAGTCTATACGTATGACAAACAAAGTAATCAGGAAAAGTGTGTATCGACACGTATATATATTTCAGAATGCGACAGAAAGTATAAAAGGGAAAGGCGGGAAAATGAAGATGAAAGCAGAACAACAAACAAAGCGGAAGAGCGGCCATATTTATTTTTTCTGCACTAGCAGTATTAATAACATGTTTCCGGAAATAACAAAATAGACGAGGCAGTGGATCACAGGAGCCGGATTCTTGCTGTCAAATCTGGCAATCGAACAAGAATCCAAACTGTGGAGGGCAGCATCAGGATTCACAGAACCAGACGCGACTTTCACGCGAGCTGCACTTGCAACAGACCCTGCTGTTTCAAGATTGGATTGTACAACCACAGCAGATGCTGCAGCACAACCACAGAGACCAACTGCCGGTCTACATTCCATTATCTTAAAGGACAGAAAGAAAGCAATAATATTTACAAAATTTTAAAAAATGGTACAAGTCATGGGTGTGACGATAAACTGCATCCGGTAGCAAGGGCTCTGATCGGGACATTGGAAGACATGAGAAGCGTGAAATCACCTCTTAATTGCTGTTGTTCCCAGATCCATTCAGTAGTAGCAGCACCTGTTCGGGTTGCTGTTATGGGCAAAATGAACCCCTCTAAGAAAACACTATAAAAGTATAAAAAACCATTTTTATACTAAAAATAGCAGCAATACATTTTATACATTATTTACATTATTCAGACTATTGTCCTCATCTTTATCGCCATATTTATCACAAAGTTTCGGCCGTTGTACGCTCCGGCCTTCTTCAGATGGTTGGAATTTCGAACTGAACCCTTTATATGCTCACTGGGGTAGACTGTTCTAGTTCCACGTGCCATGTTTGATGGATGTCAGTTATCAGTTATCTCCTGTTAATTTCCCTCTGAAGGTTCTCTACTGCGTCAACCGGGTATTGAACTCACACTCTTTGGATCCTGTCACTTGGTCTAACCAACGCCTTTATCCACTGTGCCATGTGTCCTTGAGGAAATTCCAACCACCTGAAGAAGGCCGGAGCGTACAACGGCCGAAACGTTGTGGTAAATATGGCGACTAAGATGAGGACAATAGTCCGAATAATGTAAATAATGTACATAATACGTCATCTCAGAAATATAGACAAATACATTTTATATTTAAAAAAAATTATCAACACTACATATTTCTAGCGAAATTACCAACAATACCTATTTATTGTGAAATTATCAACAATGCATTTTATCTGTAGCTGAAAGCATACAATTATGTTCAAAATATTTAGATTTCGGCATGAAATAACCCATAGGTGTTGATACGCCGCTACACAAAATCAGCCAACCAAAAATTATACTATCGTTGTTTATTTTATTTTAATCTCAAACTGGGATCTAAATGCTAAGGTGGTTATCACATTCAAGGCAGAAAATAATTTTATTTGCATAACTAAGCAGTTGAATTATAAAAGTAATCAATAAAACAATCATTTGTCTATAAGGATCACAGAAGATCAAAACTGAATAACACAACAGTAATTTTTTAAATTAACTTTTAAAACTGAATATGCAAATTAGCTATCCCAGTTAAGTAGGAACTTCTAAGGCAATATATGTCAGATGCTGACAGGTATAAAGGATAAAAACGCATTATCTATTTATTAGCCATGCTGTTGAATCCTCTCTCTTACATAGAAAAAATATATATGTATTTTGAACAATAAAAAATATTTAAAAAATTAAAATTTTCGGACAAACTGGGTTGTATATTAATATTTTTTATCTATATTTCTGAAATGAGGTATTATGTACACAATTTGCATTATTCGGACTAATGTCCTCATCTTTGTCGCCATATTTATCACAACGTTTCGACCGTTCCGGCCTTCCGGAGATAACAACGGCCGAAACGTTGACAATAGTCCGAATAATGTAAATAGAATAATATTTTTTGTTTTATTATTTCAATTACATTCCTCGACTCGTTTGGGCCAGCATGGTCATCATCAGGAGAAAAAAAATTCTGCTTGTTAGCAGCAGTGAACTACAGGAAGAATAGACGATGAAGAAAATGAACTTTATCTGTAGTTTTCATTTGTTTTTTACCAGAAATTTTGGTCAGTCCTTGTGTTGGTCAAATGACTTCTTTTAAGATAGAGGCTGCATAGATTCATGCTGCACTGAATTCCCTTGGTCATTTTGACTGTTTTATTCGTTCCTGGAAAGATGTGTTAATTGTGTGTTATCAATTAGTTATATATATATATATATATATATATATATATATATATATGTGTGTGTGTGTGTGTGTATATATATATTATAAATTTACTAATTTAAAAATATGGTTCTATCGCTACACAAGAATTACTATGTAACGGAAACTAAAACTTCAAATTTAATTACAGAATTAAATTAAAATCACTAGTACTTATTCAGAAATTTGCTTGAAATGAAACTTTCAAGCAAATTTCTGAATAACTTATTTTGAAATTTACTGAGTTTTATAAGCACATACATTCTTAATATTAGTTGCTAAGGATACAGGGGAATCCAATCATTTTGACAAGGGGTGATTGGGTATTCATATTCACTGACAACTATTCTATCAAAATATGAGTTACTTTCAAAATGAGGTTAAGTTAAGGTAGGGTAAATGACATCCGTTTTTCGCATGTCGTCTGTTTTTTGTTGTTTTTTTTTTTTTCAGTAAGAAAAAGATTTTCGGCACTATTGTTTTGCAAGGATAACAGGATATAGACTAAAGAATTCTGACGACTACACAGACAACACTTTAGTTCATGAAAATGACTGCGACACAACATGAACTTCGGGCAGTTTACCCGTAATTTTGATCAGAATACACAATATATTGTTCGACATTTGGAAAAATACAATAAAATTTTAAACAGTGTTGATGTCACCTGCCTTCATGTTGCGTTTGTAAACAATTTCGATTAAAAAGAATCGACAAGGTCCTTGTTAGTTGTTTTTAATCAAATTTCTTTGAAAATGCAATATGGAGGCAAGTGGCATCAAATCGCAACAAGTGGGGGGGTTACTATTAAAGATGGCATTCGGACAAGTGAGAAAAAAAGCCAGAAGAAAAAAGTGAGAAGAGAGGAGAGAATCCAGACCAAATATGGCGGTACCAGCACCGATAGAGTCAGACAGCAATTGCAAAAAAATTCTCTCCTGGTATGATCAGCTGTAAAACCACAACAGGCGCTGCAACCCAACTTCCAACTCGACCAACGCCTGACACATACGCCATTCTCTTACGAGACAAAAGAATGTCGCTAAGAATAAATAAAGGCAATGTTATCTTTTTCTATTTTAGCTACGCAAATTGTCAACGATTGTTATAAATGTTTTAATTAGTATCTTATTTATTATACATTATTCAATGTATATTAATTCCTTGACTTGAGTTTTATCGTAACTTTACACAAACCGTCAATATAAGGTAAAAGAATACGGAACTGCTACGCAACATCAGTCCTCTTATATGGCAGTGAATGCTGGACAAACCCCTCACAGATAAAGAAGAGACTTGAAGCAACAGAAATGTGGTTCTACAGAAGGATGCTGCGAACTATGTACTGAACATGTGAGCAACGACGAAATTTCAGAGAAAATGGAAACAAAGAGGATACTTATAATTAACATTTCTAGGGCACATGATAAGGAAAGAGGGCTTGGAAAATTTGATACTCACAGGACAGATTGAAAGCAACGCACCTGACGAGCTTGAGTAAATGGGTGGTTGAAAAATGTAATAAAGTTTAGGAGAGAAAACAAAATTTACAAGGAACTAGAAAATGGCAGGAAATTGTGGAGAGCCATGATTGCCAATGTCCTGAAAAGTCTCGCCACATAGAAGAAGAAGAAGAAGAAGAAGAAGAAGAAGAAGAAGAAGAAGAAGAAGAAGAAGAAGAAGAAGAAGAAGAAGAAGGCTCAGATCAAGAAAAAAAGATGAAATCTTGGTCAAACTCAAATTCACCTCAGGAGAATGTTTAACCTGACCCACTACCACAACTCGGTGGCTAAGTAAAAGATCAAATCTCGGCTTTTTAATATTTCCTGTATCTCAGGGTTTTTTATACTGTTTATATAGTTACGAATATAGTTACGTATAGCCTAGCAGTACAGTCTGTCACACCAGTTTTAAATGTTTCAGATGTCCACAGTCTGTCGCCTCTGAAATAAGCATCTAGCCTCGCAGATGTCCACAGTCTGACGTCTCTAAAATAAGCATCTAGCCTCTCAGATGTCCACAGTCTAACGTCTCTGAAATAAGCATCTAGCCTCTCAGATGTCCGCATTCTGAGGTCTCTGAAATAAGAATCTAGCCTCTCAGATGTCCGCATTCTGAGGTCTCTGAAATAAGAATCTAGCCTCTCAGATGTCCGTATTCTGACGTCTCTGAAATAAGCATCTAGCCTCTCAGATGTCCACAGTTATCATCATTATCAAAAACTCAGACACAAATTTATATATAACAAATAGGTTTACGGTCATGTCACGTTGAAACACCGGTTCTCGTACGATCACTGAGGTTAAGCAACGTCGTGCCAGGTCAGTACCTACATCGGAAACCGCTTGGGAATACCTGGTGCTGTAAGCTTGGATGAGCGGATGGTGTAGTGGAATTAGAAATCGGAGAACCGAGTTCTAGTTCCAGTTGGGTTCGTTAGATTCTTCGGAAAGGTATGAAACCACTTCTCATCCCCCCAATTATGGATTAATTAACATGACTTGTATCAGTAAATCATTATCATCTCCCAAAAACTTTTACAGCCTAAAATTATTTACTGGTCTTAAATATCTGGAAAAGGTTTATAATCTGTAAAAAGTCAATCAATCAATTACAATAAATACACAGCATAAATGAAATCAAAGTAGCAACAAATCGACTATATATATATATATATATATATATATATATATATATATATATATATATATATATATATAAAAAAGCGTTGAGGTCGAAAATATGTTACTTGAAAAACACACATATGAATAACGAAATAATTTTGATAGTATTATATTATATGTAGCATTAAAACAAATACAAAGTTTGTGGCTGATAGATGTTTTATTCAACAACTCTACTTTTGTATAATCGTTCGGTCCCCTCGTCAGGAGCTATTAGCAATTGTCTGAGAATTTTCTTCTTTTCGTTACTTGTGTGCGTGCGTGTTCGTGTGTGCTCGTGTATGTCTGTGCTAGTGACTGTACGTGTGTATATGTGCACATGTGCATCTGCGTGCACGCGCGTGTATCTGTGTTTGTACGCCTGTATGTGTGTATGTGCTATTGTGTAGGATGTCGTGGTAATATATATATATATATATGTATATATATATATATATATATATATATATATTCGGTTTATACACTATTTTTATGGATACAGCTTATCTGAGTAAATGCTCTATATTAATTAAACAGTATTAAATACATTTACGGCCTAAATGTGCGAGGAATTTCTTAAAAAATATGCATCCTCCGACAGGAATCGAACCTGTATCCAATATGAAGATTTATATTAAAATATTTGTCGGATTTAATCTATTACACACACATATATATATACACACACCTACACCTGTGTGTGTGTGTGTGTAAAAAAACGAGGATATTAGTGTCAATACTTCATGGAATATTTACAATGCTTTTTGTCGTCATTTTTGACAATTATTAACTTAACTCATCTTTAAGGAAAATAAAAGTTTGTGTCGTATTTTTAAAACAGAAAGAAACAGACGATATTTTTAGTTACGGTTGCGTTCATTGGGGAAAGAAAGAAAGAAAGAAAGAAAGAAAGAAAGAAAGAAAGAAAGAAAGAAACGATTCGTGAAATGCGTTTCTGGAATTTGGTGTATATTTTAGAAGGAATGTCATACCGAGAAATGCGCATATCGATTGGAAACTTATCCAATCGATACATCTATGCAGGTTGGCCTTTTCTTTTATATTTTGCTTCCGGGTTCTTTTAGTTTTTATTCTTTTCTTTCTTTTTTTTTTTTTTTTTTTTTTCTGCAGAAAACACAAGGATATTTATACGGAACTACAGCAAGTAGTAAATCATCAATCTTTGAACTTCTGATGATCACCGTCTAACATGACCCCAAAATCTCATCTACAAAGGCTAATAGTAATATTACTTGTGTGTGGGGTGAGAGTGAAACAGAGAAATTGTTTTCCTATCATTAAAATAAAGAAGGCAGAAACATATTTAAATCTAGTTCAACGTAAATCGATTCATTTCTCTTTATCTAAAGTAGCACGTTTAAAGAAAAAAAAGTTTCATTACCTTCCACAGAAATACTTAAAATGGTCCGCTCGTAAAAAACAGGTTAACATTTTAGGAAGGAATAACTTTTTTTTTTAAATTAACATTCATTAAACCTTCCCGACATTTATCATAAAGATATTGATTTTTTTTTAAATTTTGGAATAGGTGTCATATATATATATATATATACAAACCTGAATTCTTAAAGAGTTATCTGTATTTTATTTTTATTTACATATGCTAATTTCGAAACTGTGCTTACGTCATTGATTATTGCGTACTATTGCAAATTAGGGAAAGGACATCATCAGTAGTAGACAGTTTCCAATGGCATAAATACGGTTTCAAACTTAACATTTGTAAATAAAACCAAAGTAGAGATAACTGTTTAAAATTCAAAGACAGATTTGACACTGTATTTATATCATGCATAGGACCTGAAGAATATATGGCCGTGGTTAACCATAATTGCAAAAATTATCACAAAACAACTGGCAAAATTCTAAATAAACAGACAAAAATTCTCATTAAACAATAAGAATAAGAGCAAAAAAAAGAACAAAGCGAAATAATACTATATATATATATATATATATTTATAGATAGATAGATAGATAGATAGATAGATGTGTGTGTGTGTGTGTGTGTGTGTGTGTGTGTGTGTGTGTGTGTGTGTGTGTGTGTGTGTGTTTGATATCTAAAAAACACTAAACTGAGTTTCTTTTTCCAGGTTTTCAGATAAGACGTTTAGCCATCTTGACACCATTTGTATTCGGAATCCCAAAAAAAAACCCTTTCAGTTAATCAGCTAGAAAGAAAAC